GAGATATACACAGGTCGAATGAAGGCAAATCTGCACCAATCGGCATCACATAATCCCGATGTGAAACTGATTTGAAACAGATATTTGGCGCAATAGGAGACCTTTAAGATACAAATCAGGATCAGGTTCATATAGGCGTTCAATACATATTGGAATGCCGATAGCTCTATAGGTAAATCGATAAAGCTTGCCTTATAGCTTTTTCGATTTACCTATAGAGCTATCGGCTTTTCGATATGTATTGAACGCCTATATGAACCCGATTTGTATCATAAAGGTCACCTATTTGCGCCAAATATCTGTTTCAAATCAGTTTCACATCGGGATTATGTGATGTCGATTGGTGCCCGATTTGCCTTCATTCGACCTGCGATACTATTAAAAATTGTAAATACGCGTAAAAAATGAAAATTTAAATGCCAAATAATTTACCTAAATATTCAAATTCTTATGACCAAATTGCTCCTATAGATGCATTTTGTGATTTTAGTTCAATGAAATTAACAAATTATACCCTGCCTTACTATTTGTTGTTCATGCCCACGGGATCATATCATGACCGGGAATCTTCCATGGGAAGATTCCCAGTCACAAATAATCACACGAAAAATTATAATAAAGGTATGCATGAATAACGTAAGGCAGGGTATTACTCATGAATTTCCTGTGAGGAGTTAAAAATCACAACAGAGATTCCGATGATCATATGATTCAGACGGCTATGATCATCAAGAATCTCTTGTAATTTTAAGCTCCCAGGAAATTACAGTAATAATACTAATTAATCCCTTGAAATATAGCAAATGTCAAGTCTAATTAATTAATTGAATATTTATATCGATATTGATGGATTTACACCATTTTATTACCATCTTTACAGTATTTCTAAAATTTAAATAATCACCAACCCGCAGCTTCCAGAATACAATATCTATCGTCATCATGATAACCACACGCCAATGATTCATTTCCCATTTCTCTTATTTTTCTTATTTATATTCCTGTCCTAAAGAATATTTATAAATGTTAATCTGCAATAATAATAAAAAATTGCCAGGCATGAGCACTATATAGGCACTTTTTTTTTATCGCTTTGCTTTGTACAATATCCTACTCCAATCATTCTACAAGAAAAGATTACAAGAACAAAGGTAATATTTATAACACGAAACAACTATTAATATTTTTTTTTCTTTATTAATCCTAAATCTCCCATCAATTCAGATCATTCGTTTAGAAGATTAGTGAGCATATATAAAAGCAATTTATAAATTTTGGTTTTGTGCATGAATGCAAGCATTTATTATCGAACAAAAAGAAGCATAATAAATCAAATAATGAATAGAAGGAAATACCGTAAAACCTCCATATAAGTTGCACACCCTCTCTAAATGCACACTCAAGTTCTGGTCCGAATATATATGCGACCTCTATAAATGCATTTTCTTATTGTTCTCTAAGTACACGTTATTAAAGCTTAATCCAAAGAGCGTGCACTTATAGAGGTTTTATTGTATTAACTTTTCAACAAATTACCAAATTACAAGAAATAAATGCACGGCTCATGAAAACGTGGACAAAAATGCGCAAAATCAGAAAAGAACAATAAATAAAATTTCTCTACCAGCAAATTATCCAAAAAGAAAAAAAGTGCAAAAAAGACCCATCAGCCAATTGTAAAAAATTTTAAAGACCTTAAAAAAATCGAAATTCTAAATAAAGCCCTACTACGAGTTTAAAACGGAGTCAATGTTAAATGTCTAAGCTTCATGTACTTAATATACCGGGTGAGTGAAAGTTCCTGGACAGGGTCCTTTTTTACGATCTCATCTAATATTATTAATATATAATTTTTTATAATCTATACCTGAGGTGGATGGAAAGTCCCTAAAACGGGACCTTTTTTATTAGTCATTGAATTACGTATTAATCTTAATGGCGGGTTTACTAATTTCCCCAGAGTACTATATAACACAGATACCCTAAAATGTGAATAATTAGTAGAACCAATCAGAAGTGGTGGGGAAATTAGTAAACTCGGGTAGACATTTTAATTATATATATATATATACCCGGATAACCGGGTAATTTAATATTACCCGGGTAGAGATTTTCTTGACGAGTACAATCTCTAGGCTACTTTATTATACCGGTCATATTGCTAATATATATAAATTTATTTTTAATACAGTATTAACTGAGATCGTAAAGGTCCCTGTCAAGAATTTTTACTCACTCGGGTATATAGGTATATATTTAAAAGGTTAGATCATCTAAAAAAAAAATAAATAATAAATAAATAAATAAATAAATAAATATATATATATATATACTATAAATAGGAGCCAGTTTTAAAAAATTTTTCTAGATTTATAAAAGTCTATTTTGAGCCCTAATTCATAAATTTTTATTACCGTAAAATATGAAAAATAAGCACAGCACCTTCTGCCTTGTTTTTTTTGGGAATAACTTGATTAAAGATTTTATTGTTATTTCCGCTAATCTGAAATTGAAAAGTAGTGCTGTGCTTATTCTCTATATTTTACGGTACTTCTGTATCAAAATATCTTTACAAGGAAGTTAGGAAAATTATGAATAATCGATTAAAAAAAAATTATGTTTGTATTTGCCTAAAATTAGAGCTCTTACCCGGGTCGGATTGACCCGTATGGGTCAGTTTTTTGACGGGTCACTAGTTAAAAATTGGCCGACCCGGGTTAAACGGATACAAATCTGGAAAGTTCCAGTTTAAGTATTTGCTATATATTAATATAACAGGCACATCATAAAATTATTAAACTCTCGATAGTAACCTACATAACTATTGACCCAAGTAATACATAGCTCTAAATAAGTCATTACATCAACTTTTTGTAAGTGTTAACTCAAATCTTGGTTTTCCACTAGCCCCGGATCACGACTCGGGTTACCCGTTCGGATTTTCTTGTTAATCAATATATTATTATCGGAACGTCATTCTTCTAGATCACATATACATACATTTAATAATAATAGACCAGAAAACGTCTCTATGACGTTCCATGATGCCATGATGAGTCATAGGTTAAAAAAAAAAATTTTGATGACGCAACCAGGGCGGCCCCCAAAAGTTCGGGTCGAAATTATCGACCCAATTTCCGAGGCTGCCGCAGCATCCCGGGTAAATTGACGACAAAAATCTTGCGATCGTTTTGATCACGTCAATAATACTCTGTCCCTGATTACATCTGTCAATGGAAAAAGACAGCCTCGGAAATTTGGGTCGATAATTTCGACCCGAACTTTTGGGGGCCGCCCTGGTTGCGTCAATTTTGATCTTTCTGTGGCGCAGTTCTTTTTGTTCTGCATCATGTTCGAGAGGAGTCTAACTTATGCATCAGATTGAAATGCATATCATGAATATAATAACGAAGGCAAACCAATAAAATATACTGTTTGAATCCTTTACAATAACATACGCTATTTCAATTAAATAATTAAGAGATTCGTTTAGTTCACACCGAAAATCTAGCATCAAATAAAACGGCAAATCTTTTTATTTCATAAATATTATCAGTGCATGTTTCTATTTTCATCACTGAATTAAAGATTAATACAAAGATTATTTTTAGTACCATACTGAACAATTCATATTGCACATGTAAATTGGATATATTATTAAAGAAAACCAATAAAATATCTAAAGAGCGACTTTATAATTCGAACTTTCTCATCCTAACATAAACCATAAAGAGCTGTTAGAGTGATTTTATAATACGAATTTTCTCTAATCATAAAGAGCTGTTAGAATGATTTTGTAATACGAACTTTCTCTAACACTAACTTTAATTATTTGAATTTCATGTTACACTGATGATTGCTGTCTTCTTTTTACATATCGTGTATTATGCAAGGAAACGTAGGTTATCCACCTTTATCCTGCAGGGTATCTGGTATGGTTTAAATCTAACTCATCATTTAATGACGGGTCTAACATCTAGTTTTTTATATAAACATTCTGCAACAATTTTTATATCTACCAATATAACCCTTCAAAACTATAAGCAAGCAGATATGTTTATATTTAAAGGGGGCCCATATACATATAAATAGAAAATTTTCATATAAGCTAGCTCCTAACCTTAAACGATAACACAGATTTACAAATTAGTACTCATATGTAGGCTATACAAAGTTAATTGTTTTCTTATAACCGAGTCGGACCTTTTTTTTTACTAAATATTAAAAGCTCTCTGGTGATTCGTTTATGATTATAAAAATTAAAACCCGTGCATACACAGTATGTGAACTATGAGAAAATATGTAACTAATTATGTTTAAATTCAAATTGTTTGCGGTTTATACTAATTATTCACTTTCGGAAAACAATTAACTCTTTACCAACCTTCTTTGTTATAACATTATAAATCCTCCCCCAAAAAAAGAATTATAATGAAATTTTCCATGACGTATATCGAAATTCTGTTGTCCCTGTCTCTATTTATAGTTTTTCAAAATCCGAAAGCTTTTCTAATTAGGAAAATGTACCAACTTTATCTAGTTATTTTAATTTATGCATATTATATTTACGGAACAGAACGCCCCTGTGACATATAGTATAGACTAAATTAATTGTCTGTTATTTATATAAAGATGTGATACATAATTTTTGAATATTTGTTTCACATGGATACTTTATTTCGAAGTATATATCTCATTTATACGCATGTAAATGAATGCGCGTGCATTATAAATTTTAACGATTTAGGAAGGTACTGCTTACAACCCTCTTCTTGTATATACATATATATAAATGAGCTCAAAAAGTTTTGAAAAGGGAAGCGGCTTAGGCTGGCTTAGTAAAATAATTTTTTAACTCATACTAATTGTCATAATGGTTAATACGTAATATATATAATAATGTCAATATCTCACGATTGATCAATCATTTAAAAGCTGTTTTTTTCCTACTTAATTCTGCAACGAGTAAATCTTAATATCTATCAAATTAATTTGCAAAGATGCAAATTCAAAAAATTAATTATTGGTTTTTCATTTTTATATGGTCGATAAATGTGAGTTTTGGCGTACAACTTAGTTGTGATTCTCCCATATATTGTTATGGCCCAATTCTTGAAAAAATTCAATTATCTGGTTTATTTAATGATTCAAAAACTTTCGTTGATATGGTAAGTTTATTATTTAAATATAACTAATTAATAAATTTGATTCTAAACAATGATTTATCTAATAGCCAACAAAGAAACCACTCAAAGAAGTTCTTGATGCAGCGTCAAAACTCGATCAAAATGCATCTAAATCTGTACTACAAGACTTTGTCAACACATATTTTGATAAGGAGGATAAAGAATTAACTCAAACAGAAATTCCCAATTTTAACCCATCTCCATCTTTCCTTCAAAAAATTAAACAACCAATTATTCGTGAATTTGCCAAAATAGTACATAATTGTTGGCCAAATCTTACACGTAAAGTTGATCAGAGCTTTTTGTGTTCAGGATGTGTATCGAGCCGTATTCCGGTTAAAAAGAGTTTTGTAATACCCGGTGGAAGATTTCAAGAATTTTATTATTGGGATAGTTATTTTGTTATTGAAGGACTACTTGTTAGTGGACTATATGAAAGTGCTAATGATATGATTCAAAATTTTTTGGATTGGATAAAAACTTATGGATTTGTGCGTAAGTAAAAATATATAATTTTCAATAAATTAAATATTTAAATTATATTTTCATTGTTGTTTAAAAAAATATATAATAATAACCAATATTTAATTAAAAGCAAATGGTTCACGAATATACTATTTAAACCGGTCGCAACCTCCACTACTGACTCAAATGGTGAAAATTTATTACGAAGCTACCAATGATACCTCACTCCTTCGTAAAGCATTTCCATTATTACTCAAAGAATATAAGTTCTGGCGCAAAAATACTACAATTCGTGTACATAAAAACAATAAACAATATGAATTAAATCATTATAATGTTTACAATATTCATCCACGCCCGGAAAGTTATCTTGATGATTATACTGTAGTTGAAAAGAATTCATTTAATTTAACTACGAAACATGGATTATACTCAGATATAGCGACGTGTGCGGAATCAGGATGGGATTTCTCATCAAGATGGGCAAGAAATCCTTACATTCCACCAGTTGACAATTCGAGTAATAACTATAAAATTCTTAGTACGTTAAATACTAGATCTGTAATTCCGGTTGAGCTAAATTCAATTTTATATATGAACGAAATTACCCTATCCGAATTCGCGAAACAGATTGGTGATTATAAGACGATGGGGACTACAATAGAGTGGCTAGAGAGTTCGGCAAAAAAGAGACTTGAAGGGATGATCGAGTTACTTTGGGATCATAATACCTCAATGTTTAGAGATTATAATCTTACTAGTGGTGCTAAATCTAACATAGTTTCTTTAGCTTCATATTTTCCATTTTGGTAAGATTCAAAATTTTAGTGTCTTTTTAAAATATGCTATTAACTATTAACTAATATTATTACTTTAATTCTTTAATATTTAGGGCTCAATCATTACCAGAAGATGTCCTCACAGATTCGAAAAAAATTCTCAAATCTTTTTCTTTTGTATCTGCTCTCTTATCGAGATATGAAGGCTTACCACCAGTCACATTAATTCAAACTGGTTTACAATGGGATTTCCCGAATGCCTGGCCTCCACTGAGTTATGTAATAATCAAGGGTCTTTTAGATTCTTATAATGGTAATAATAATTATAATAATTCTCAAAAAGATCCAGAGTTGTTAAAGATTGCATTAGAGACAAGTCAACGTTATGTTTCTTCTGTATTGTGCGCTTGGTATTCAACCGGTGGATCCATACCCGGATTATTGGTTAAATTACAAAACGCTACTGATATTGGTCATATTTTTGAAAGTAAGTCAATTTTTTCGTGTTATAATTCTTTTAATAAATTTCTAGTTAGCACATCACTTATAATTGCTTATAAATTGTATATGTATATTATTCTTTTTATTATTTTATAATTTTAGAATACAACGCGCTACAAGTCAGTAATCCGGGTAGCGGTGGTGAATATGAAGTTCAGGTTGGATTTGGATGGACAAATGGCGTTTTATTATGGATATTGTCAAATTTTGGGGATAAGTTGGAAGTTCCAACATGTATCAATGGCCAATAATTTTTTTTTTTTTTTTTAATTTAAAAAAATTAATATTATTACATCATATAATGCATATCAGAACAACTTAAAAACATAAATTTTAATAATGTTTTTTATATAAAAAAATGATTATAATTAAACACATTTGATGACTTTAATCTCTTTCCATCTTTACTCGCTCCGTACATCTGCTTGCAAACAAATCAAATTCATCGTAGTCGACAATTTTCGTGACTCTAATAGTGGATCTACATTCGGAATACCAAGTGCTATTTGACTCCCACATATTGAATTCATAAAAATTGTTAAAGTAGTTCAATTCTACAAAGTTCATTAAATCCATCATATTTATAACAGAAGCATATTCTTTTTTTTCTTTTTTTTTTTTTGAGGCATATTAGAGTTTAAATGTTATTGTACTGTAAATTTATAATCTAAGTGATCTGATATTCTAGATTTCAGAATCTCCATAAAATTAATATTTCTAACTACTTTTGATTGCAACTTGATTGTACGCCAGCGAATAAATCAGTAAATTTGTTAAAATCAATTCGAATCTTATATTTTTTTTTTTTTTGCTCAATAGGTACGCGTTCCTATTGAGATAAATGCCAAGAATGAAGAAATCTATCTATGTATATATGCTAGTGCTGTACATTGTATATATGGTATGTTCGGACTTTGCGTGAAAAAATTGATTGTGCCAATCGTACATGTAAATGGATGTCGGCTATGTTATTAGGTAGATACATGCCATCTTCTATTTTAAGTCTATAAAACACCTTTAACCTACGTCCCACCAGTAAACCATCAAAAAAAGTTATTCGAAAAAAAATGTCCAATGTTCCATAAAGTTTTTTCGACAAAATAAATAAAAAATAAAATTATCCTTCAACAGGCATTCTGCGTTTTGGCTTGGGTGCACGTTTTGGTCTTGTTGATAAACTATTTATTGCACGCCATTCGCTTGGTAGTGAAAATCGAAAGTCATCACGCATGACTTCTTCCGAAAACTTCCAATATGGTTTTAGCGTAGCTACAACTTTTTGAAATGAAGAAACAGCAGCCTATTAAATTATTTAAAATACAATTAGTCGATCGGTGAAAACCAATTCTTATTATTCATCTAAAGACAGACCGAATTTGGTTTTACTGAATTTAAACCACCAATCAACTGGTATTGCTCTAAAGGTGACAGTTCAGGACCAAGTAAGGCTGATAGGCAGGCGCTAGCAGATGCTGATAATGGTTCTAAGGCATATCCACCTATAATTCAAGAAATTGAAATTTATATATGCCAACAAATACGAAGAATTAGTTAATTAATTAATTACCTTCAAGAGCTAGAACGATCTTCCCTTTAGCCAAAGTCTTGAGCATCTGTGTCATAAACGCATAACCTAATATAAGTTATATAAATCAAAATATTATTAATCATTGAAATTTGTTTGAATAATTCATTATTTTTTAAACTTTAAATTTTACCTCTTGGTGTAATTTTATAACCGCCGATCTTGTAAACACGGTTTAATTAATATGATAAATTCCAAAAGCAATATCAATATATATATATAATCAATTTAACATTTAATGCTTACAAAACCATCGTGCCCTTCAGCAGCGTCAAAACCGGCAGATACAATAACTAGATCGGGATTATATTGCATGGCAATAGGCATCACTATATGTTTGAATGCGGCGACATACTCTGTGTCACCCATCGCATCAAATCCTAAATTTAAAGTAGCATTTAAGTATCATTCACTCATTGAAAAAAATCAATCAACTATAATTCAAATAAAATACTCACTATCCTCTTCAGAAGAAAAAGTAATGTTAACATTTTTACCTAGTCCATCACCAGAACCCAGGTCGGAGGGTGAACCAGAGTAAGGATAAAAATTACCATTATCCCAACGATGCAACGACAAATATAGTACATCATCACGGTCATAAAACATGTCCTGTGTTCCGTTTCCATGACTAGTTGGTTACAAAAGTTAATATGGTGCATTATTAATGATACTAACACATTTTAATAACATATATCCGCTTACTGAATATCCCTGTTTAAAGTTAAAAATGTTAACTTGTACGATCATTATCACATAATTATAACATAACTAAATGAGATAAATCTTACCAATCGACTATAAGTATTTTCTTAATTTGATTTGGATAGTTCTTCAGTATTATGTTTGCTGCAATGCCTGTTAATAAATTCAAGCAAATATCGGTTATTTTAGTTAGGTTAGACTATTGCTTATCACCACGTTAGATATTGAAACGATTGACACTTACCAACATTATTGAAATAACAAAAACCCCTATATAAACATAAAGGTTGGGGAATGTGTTAAAATAGAAGTTTAACTTTTTTTGTCTTGATATAAACAATAACATGCATACATGGCTTGATTCCGCTCAGCATGATGTCCGGGAGGACGTACTATCGCAAAACCGTTGGCAATTCTAATATAAAGGAATAAAAAGGAATAAAAAAGGGTTAAACCTTTATTCGTAAAATTAACAACAATTAAAATTTACATACTTCCCGGACGCAACAGCGCCAACAATTTCGATCACAGACCCTGCAGCCATTCTCGCCGCAATTGGAGTGCCGGCTGAATTATATGTAGTATCACAGCAGATGCCTAGTTCGCCACAAGACATAACGTCTTTAAGAGCCGGTGGACACCATTCTGTTAACTTTTGGACTTTATCAACGGAGCCTTTTTTCTCAACATCAACAATATCTGCAACAGATTCATCGTTGACCTTTACATCACAATTTTCTTCGATCTTTGGCATACGAATCCTCTTATATGAGAAATATGTAACAACATGTTCACCAGTATGACAACTTTCAAGTTCCTCTTTTGTTGCCATTCTAGAACGTATTCTTTTAACTCTCCTTAAAAGTCTTTCAAAAAAAAAACAAAATAAAATTATAATAATGAAAATTAAATTAAAAAAAGATAACAAAATAAAATTAAAATTACCCTTGACTCTCAAACGTTCCCATTATTTCAATACAACGATCCGGATTCTCAGGATGACTAGTCACCTTGTTATCACGATATCTACACGGACATTCATGTAATAACATCGTTTCGTCAAAGACGATAGCAGTGTGTTCACGTGCTAGTCGGCCTTCTTCTGATTGGTAGAAACATTTATATTCCTGCCACGACTTTAAGTCATCCTTTCCTAAAGGACCAATTATGACCGGACCACTTTGAAAATAAGGTAAAATGTCAAGAGGGGTCACCATTTTAGCTTGTTCAGGACCCCAACCTTCAAAATGGACAAATATTCGATCTTGTAAAGCCGGATCAACATTTGGGATTGATGGTTCATCAATGTCCATAATTCGTGCAGCAGTTAACAAACCATCCCTATAACAAGCTATTCGATCACCAATTTTAAAAGCTCTTCCTTCTGAATTAGTAAAAGAAGGAAGCATATTATTTTCTTGTAATCGAAACCTTCTATCGTTTGGTCTTACATAATTTGAAATAGTTTCTGGAGGAGGTTGTGTGATGAGTACAACAACATCACTTTTTGGTAGTTCTTGTTTGTCTTCATCAATATTAAACTAAAGCAAAAAAAAAATATAAAATCATACATATATTTGCAATAAAATAATATAAGATAAAATATTATAAGGGATTTTATATATGGTAGAATAACCGACATTTTATCCGAAAAAATCTAAAGTTTCACACGGGCCACATGGGCGTTTAATATAACTCAAAACGAGTTTATAGAGTAATTTTTGTTGACGTCGCAAGGAACAAAATTATAAAAATTTGCTGATGATATATTGATTTATTTGGACATTAATTCATCAAAATCCCAAAATTTTCTTACCACAACATTGTTTAGGTCCTCAGTTTCAGTAGTAGGGGTTGGTGGCCAGTAGTTAACGGGATCGTTAACCCCATATTCAATAGGAGAGGGAGGCCAGAAATCAGGAGACGGAGTGGTCTCTTCAACTCGTTGGTGTTTAACTTGCTTTGTGTCAATAGATAAGTCCGTGTTTTTGCGCTTCATAGAGCTAAAGTTCACTCGAGTACACAAATGATAATATAAATACAAGCAAGGAGGAAAATTAAAAATAAAAATAGTGAGGAAATGAAATCGAATCGAGTATTTAAATGATAAAAATTTTGTGGCAAATTGCCAATCAGAAGCGACGAAAGGTTGTAATAAGAAATTTAATAGGATGACGAAACAACCACGTGATCTTATTGTAAATCACCAAATAATGAACTGCCTGATAAAGTTGTAAGTTATTTAACAATAAATAATATAAAAAAAAAATAAAAAAAAATAAAATAAATAAAATAAGGAAAAAATGCAACATTTCGTAGTTAAAATTACTCAATGAACAATAACGCATACTAGCGATATTTGAAACAGTTTAAACTCTGTTTTAGTCTTGTTTGAACAATACAGCTGTACTCCTTTCCTAATACTCATTTTGACAACAGTAAGATCATCAAATGCAACTCTTTAATAGAAGACAATATAAAAATTCATAACTTTCTCTTGATAGATGAACGATTTCTTTTTAATAATTCTATAATAATTGTCTCAGATTTTATCATTTTCTCAATAAAGGAATTACTCCAGTTTGGTATAACCTTGTTGCAAACATGTTCGACGAGAAGATGCTGGTGTTGCGCAGATCGTGTCGTACGGTCGTTGTTTGGTGTCGGAAAAAAAGCTTTTAAAGTAAATTGATCATGTAGATCCCGTAGCAATGATGACTATTTAATATTATATTAGCATTTATGAAATTTTACAATTGCAGGCTTGTTCAACCAGTGTCACGCCGATTTTATATAGAAGGGGGGTGACAGAATGAATGTCACATCGTAAAGATACGATTATATAAATCGGAAAAGACCGGTGGTTGTGTACGTGTCACATTAAAATAAGATTTGATTTTGTCAAATTTAAAAAATCCCGTATTGACGCAAAGTTAACGTTAACTGTTAATTAAATTACATGTACGTACGTACGTACGCACGTAACGTATGTTACAAACACGCAAAAATTCTTAATCGTTTTGTAAAAAATTAAAAATCCGTCCATTCTTAAAGTCGTCTGAACGTCTGAAACGCATATCGATAATGTTTAAATGCTAATCAATTAAGGACTCGAAATTATGCTATTTTTAAGCAGCGATGCTTCGTACCGATTATTTAGTGTCATTATTATGTATTATTTTTTTTCTTTTTTTTATATTGTGCAATTATTTATGCTGTAGAATGCATGTTGTAACCAATATACATATTTAAGAATGTACGAATGTATCATGTTTTATTTTATACACCACTGCAAATAATTGAATACAATATAACGCCATATTTTTTGAAGCGATTACATAACTATAATAGTAATATTAACAAATTATTTTAACTGATTTTAACACTCCAATCCTTAACTTTAAAACAAAAAAAAAATTATATTTCTGTTTATTTATATTATGTGTATTATTTTTAAACTCATATTAATTGGACCTGGACTGAAAAAATTGAAAAATTTATTCTCCAGAAAAAACTACTATAATATAAATACTAAAAATGTATACTAATTTGAAAAAGAAATTTGTGCATACGTACATACGTATGTACAGTACGTATACGTATGCAAAAGTGCATTATACATTATTAAGTAGAAATAATGGTTTCAAAAATTATATAAGTCTTACAAAGACAAAATGCTATGTATTTAAATTGAGAGAAAGATTGTATATTGTTCATGACTTGTTTGTTAATACTAACCAGTTAATCCTTCATTGATTTGCGCACGCCTTTGAGAAAGAAGACGTACATTGCATCATAAACTATGTGATGGTCACGTGAATTACTGCCAAACTCCTAAGGGGTAATTTCACGTGTATCATATGGGTATGACCAATTTAAGGCTTTATTTAAAGCTTTCTTTTTATCTGCAACACAATATTCAGATATTTGTCGCAATAATCAAATAAATAACTTATCATCATGTTCCTATGATCTCACTATATCTTCTGTTAGGCGTAGACGTATTCTGAGGCTGATAATAATTGTGGTGTATTTACTTAGTATCGTCATGTGAGTCATGCGAATCAAAATATTACAAATAGATGATATCGATATTGCTAGAGCAAAAAAATTTTTTTTGGCAATATACGACTTACACGTACGTAGGTAGGCCTACCAATTAGTATAAATAAATTATTTTGTAACTATTAGCGTTGTTAGCGGCTTACTATTTACAGTATACTGCTTATCGATACTAAATTTGTTTTTATTTTTTAGTTAAAATTATTTAAAATCAAAAACTGTATACAGTATATATATACTGTATATTAATATATAGTAATTATATACTGTTTTTTTTTTATACAAATATATACAATATATAGTAATATGAAAACTTTACTTTTTTTAACTTTTTATTATAAATTTATTGTTTTAGAATTTTAAAAATAAACTTTTTAATTATATTATAACAAATTAAACAAATTAATAAAAATTAATTTGTAAAAATTTTTTAAATAAATTTTTAAAAGAATTAAATTTAATCATTAATTAAAAGGCAATTACTATTTATACACAAGTGTACAGTATATACACGGGAGTATTGTTGTTTTTCAAAATTTTGATTCTTTTGGCTTCTAACAAAAAAATTTTAGCAAAATTTTGATATAAACTAATTTCAATTCCAAATTTTACTTTTATCCAAGCTATAAACAAAGGTTTAATTTTTTTGTTTGTAAAATTTTAATTAGCTACTATACAAATTTTTTATAATTAAAATTATTAATTAAAATTAAAATTTATAAAAACAAATAAATTAGAGTACTGACATTTATTACTTAATATTTATTTACTATAGAGGCTTATCCCACCCTCAAGTAAGATATTTAGCTAAATTTGATTGGCTATAATTGTTTTATATGAGGTAAGGTTTTGCTTGACCCCACTCTCTAAAATATTACCTAATAAATATCAGCACTCTTAATACAAAATTTTTTATAAATTTATATATTTGTATATTATATAAGTATTAATTTGCAAATTTATATCTTTTAATCTGTATTCTAGACAAATTTGGTTAGAATTTTAAAAACTATTTACAATTTTTAAATAAAATAAAAATTATTATTATTATTTTTATTTTTTGCTCTTTGACAGTTTTGCCAGAGCTCAAATACAATACTTTATTTAAACAAACTTGGATAGAATAAATAATATGAGTATAACAATTGTAAGTCCAATATTATTCAGCTGTGTCTAGCATGTCTAAAAGCAACTTGTCACACTAATTTACATATAAGTTAGACCTTGCTAGCTTACTAAGAGTCTATTTTTTTATTCTTACTTTCTTTACCGAGAGTATAAGAAAATAATGTTTCTATATTTCTAATACAGGAATGTATATCAAAAAAAAAAAAAGTTTGCATACAAAAAAAACAAGAAAAGAGAAATTTTAAAAAATAAAAATGAAGAAGCCAAGAAATATAAAAAAAAAAAACAAAAAGATAAGCTCAAATAGGCTAAACAAGAAATGCTACCTCTACAAAAAAATAGTCACTACCTTTATTAATAAATAACACAAAAATAAACAAAAGAAAAAAGATATACTATTATAACCCATGTCAAGTATGTATAAAAATTATATAGTACTGTAAATACAATATTTTATATATCTCTTTAAGTCTTTACTTAATTGTTAGTTTTTTTTTCCAACCTAACAACTGACTCCAGAATAAATTTGCCTGTCTTAATCTGTATTTCAAGACAGGTGCTGTCACCATCTGTAAACCTCATAGTAAAACGTTCATCTGATTGGTTAATTTTAATAAATCTATCTATAATTGTCTGTAATAATTAACCAATTGAAATACATAATTTTATTAATACTACAATACTAAAAAATAAAACAAAACTTCAAATAAAGAAGCTTACAAACTAATAAATACATACAAAAGAATGAATTACTTATATTTAGAGAATAAATAGATATGTATAAAGTAGGCAAATATGATATTTATTACTAATAAACTCAAACTTATTAAAGAATCTACATACAAGATCTATATACTATATATAAACTACAACTATTAATATATAGTTGACAAGCCCAAACACACTACAAAAACCAACCAAGTTTAAATATTAAGTTCAAATCTCTACTACTAAAAGCTTGTATCTATTCAAATTAAACAGTAAAAAGTAAAAGTTTTATCTAAATCTAGTGTAATAAAATAGCTTTAAACAAAAATATTGCTAGTTATCTTTACTTTACAATATAGTCTAATAAATAGTAGACATACTTTATTTTTTAATTAAAGTTCTTAGAATTACTAATTATTTTTGATTATTTTTGTTTTTTTTTTGGTATTAAGGTGACTTTCATTGGCCTAGAGAACTTTTTGTTAAAGTATAGATGGAGTTTTATAATATAATTATAATAATAGTACATCAAACTACATATGCACTTTTGGTACTTAATTCAAATAGTTCACCCAAAGGTTTTACACTATCTGGGTTTTCTCACTAAATATTGGTATTATCCAAACTAGATTTAGCATCCTGCTTTAGAACTTACTAATTTATATAAATCTAGTCTATTCTCAAAATAAATCTAACAAAGTGATACATGTCTTATACATGTATTTATCTGTATGTTCTTATATTTTTCCTAATTAATACATATTAACTTGCTATTTCATATTCATATCTCATATCACCTTTTGGGGTGCTGCTATTCTATGTACATTTCTCAAACACCAACCTTTCAATAAAATGCCTATTATGTACTTCTTGCTCTTGTTCTAGTTCTCAGCAACCCCAGTACTTGTATTTAAACTATCTTTTTACCCAGATTCTCTATTGGTTCCTCTCTCTCTTATTTCTAGCCAGCAACCTGGAAAAGTTAGTCTGCTCAGACTTTAGGTATCTAAAAAACACTCTTCTCTTGGTTTATATTTTCAGAATATATATCTTTTTCCTCCAATATGACAACCTGGCGGTTCAGCTAGTGTATCTTCTACT